GAGAGAGAGAGAGAGAGAGAGAGAGAGAGAGAGAGAGAGAGAGAGAGTCTTCTTTAAATGTATTGTTAATTGAATCGCAAATCCATTTTAGTGAATATACGAACATTCGAAAATTCGATTCACGAACCTATATCCTCGAATCTGCTAAGAAACGTAAACTAATTTGTAGCCCGAGGATGCTTATGCATTTACAGAACATTTAAATGTGCGAAAAAGAACAGAATGCACACTGTATGCAATATATAAAAAATTATTGAATGTAAAGCTAAAATTTTATTTTGAATAAAGATCCGCAGTCTGATTTCTATAACGCACGTTGAAAAACGAGCGAACATTAACGTTTGAACGTAACAGACTGCTCTTCTTTCTTGATTGCCCGTACAAGCACCAGAGTGAGCGCAGCTATTATTACCTGTAAACATTTAATCTATTATTAGGCAACGAATTATTCAGCGAACTTCGGAAAAGTGCTTCAGAGCTTTGAACACGATCAGGACCAATCGCGATACAATATTTGCTCGCTATTGCCTTTTTTTACAAGTATTGCGATACTTACATGAAGCAAACATAGTGCCAATGCCAGACCAGCAAGCCATCCTGACCTGCCTTCTAGAAACCACGAAATCTCTTCAACGCAGCCATAGAAGAAAGCATTCCCAGTAACGGTGTCTCTGCATTCGTTGGGAAGAGGTTTCTTCAACTTCAAATAATCCATTGGGCCATCAGCACCACAGCAACCGATCTATTTGAAACATTTTCGTATCGTTGTACAAGGTGGAGTATTTGAGACAGATCACCTAGGTAACTATTTTAAGGGATTTTCCTGGTGTGACGACCGAGAAATTAACAACACTTTAAGAATTGATTTCGAAGTCTATAAAACATAGAACGATTCCGATGCTTTTTTCGACTAATAAAAGTATTTTTGTGTAAACTATATAAAATTTCGTAAAATCATTTAATTAATTATCAATAATATCGTATATTCTTCTTTTAATAGTGTGTACGTCATCTTACGCTTTCTTGAATAATTTGCAAAATGAACGTTGTTTTTTCGTCGCTGTATTTATTTATCAGCGCGGTCATGGAACGCCGTATAAGCGGTTGAATTTTGCTGTCATAGGTAGAATAGTCCAGGAGTATCGCTGTCCCCACCAAGCCGATAGCGTAGCAGAATAATTGTAAACCTACATACTAAAAACTTGTTATTTGTAACATTAACGTGATCGATTCAAAATAATTAATAGAGTGATTTAATATAATACATATATATGCCTTACAACGAAGAGGCCAATGATGTGCTCCATAAGCGTGACTCCACAACCGACGAATGTGATTATTACGATGAATATTGAAGCCGCGAGTAGGATGTAAATCCCGATGTAAAATTCATATATATCAAGAAATTCGACCCATTCTTGGAATCCTGATTCCAGCCTCAGCCACATGCACAATCCAAACATCGAGATGCCGAGCAACTAATGACAAATACATAGGAAATTTCAATCGCTGTTAAGAAAAGAATAATTTCATTCGATATCTAACCAAACTATTTTTCTGTTCAAAGAAATTAAATTTCAATTGAACTTGGACGCATTGGATCGACACCGCCATTACTTCCCGCTTTCCACTTATTTTCAAACGATAAATTTATTAACGAAAACTATTTACGAATAATCACTACTCCTCCTTTCTATCAATGTCCACCGTTTGAAAAGAAGTGATGGTAATAGGGAAGAACAAAGATTAGAAAATATAGATGAAATTATTGCTTGTGAATTTAAAGATCAAGATGGATAGAAAATTAGTCATTATTTATAATAAATGTTTCGGACATGCCACCAATCGTCACTGTGTCTTTTAATTTTAGAATTATATATTGCTCGCGTATACATCATTTTCACGATCATTTTATTTGTAGACTCTTCCGAGATTGGAATTTTAACTACATGTCAATTAAATTGTTCGAATTCGAACTCTTATGCATTATTATTTAGTGCTTATAAAATCGGATACAGGAGTTCATCGAAAGCAAATTTGCCCAAGTCGAAATAAATTACAGAAACACAGGAAGACGCGATACATGGGCTTTATCGGATACTACAATCTTCAAATTCTTAATTCTTTAGCAGCCTCGTATTCGTCACGCTGATAAACACTGATACGATTAGCACGCCGCGTTCTGACTCACATTGTTCGAATGTAATAAAAGTATATGTGTATATTGCAAAAAGAAATTTTTTCTATCTAAACGGTCATCGCACACACATTTAGATCATTCACTGGACAGAAATTATCTCCTTGCATAACAAGCGCATTCGATTACTCAATCGTAGTATGGAAGTAGCATTTGAAAAATAAGAAGACACTTATATGGAGAACCACAAAAATAAAATAAAAAAAAAAAAAAAGAAAAATATAAAAACCTAGCATAAAGAGACGTCCCATTAATAAGAGTAATTTAGATTAAGGGAGTGCGGAAGTCTGTAAAGTACAAAATCGTCTAAAATGCTTGCTTTTATGTCACTTATTAAATCCTATCGTATATGTTTTCACTTTTTTGCGCTCACCCATATGATGGCATTTAAGCAGAAGATGGTAAATTTTATACATTGAATTCGTTGCTCCAACTGGGGCCCGGTAGTTTTGCCGACCATTGTTTAACACGATCGGTTTCAACACACTCGTACGTTCTATAATATAGATAATCCAACTGGAAACAACAATTGAATTTCTTTCTTCTTTAAAAGAATCACTCAATGAGATTTAATCAAAACGTAGACACCGTAGTTATGCTCGTATCCAACAACGGGCACCTGAACCTCCACCTAGTATTCTCTTTATCGGCGACAAATATAAGATAACTGGATAAGCACGTCCTAGATAAAAGAATCGTTCCAAGTGACTCATTCGCATTACTGAAAATTGTCACCAAAGAAGCAGGTTTCGGGGAGTAGAATGACAGTCATTCGTCAGGGTTTGACATTAATCTGGCATTATTATTCTTTTACCTAAATTTGATTACAATAATTATTGTTACTTTTATTGCTACAATTCTTGACGAAAAAAATCAATTCTACTGCTGTTAATGGAAGCGAGACGGTACATATGAACACGTGAAAATTTCATTTTGAAAAATTCATGGGCAAAATATAATATTCGATACAAGGAATAAAAATATGAATGTGAATTAATTTCTTAACTCGTTTATTAATAATAAAACGTCGATTGGTAAATTCTATTCAGTTACAAAATAATAATTGTTATTTTAATATTTATTACAATACATATATCTGTTGTGGAAAGATGTTTAATACATGTAATTATATTATAATAAATTAAGCAGGAGGAGTTTTAGACTTTTTTATTTCATTTAATATTCCATTATACAAGGTAGAACATTTAAATAGAAACACCCTAATATAATTATATTAATAAAAAATTATATAAAATTATAAGAATGGTTACTCTTGCGTTGGGCGAATGAAATTTGAACTATCAACTTTGTAAACTTCCACAGGAAATTGAAATATCGTTACAGATTTAGAGTCTAAAATTAGACTTAGGGCTGCGGATACATACAGAATACACGTTGCGAGTGCGTTGTCTTTTTCTAGCTAGAAAACGACATCTTCTTAATTAACTGTGACGATAATAAGTTAACCGCATACTGCGTAATTAACCCAAGTCTCAACCTGACGGACATTATAATATACAATCCGCGATACTTAATATAAAACGCATTCAAATTTTTGTTATATTATTCTCTACTCATTCTCAAATTAATACATGCTATGCGTATATTAAGCTGGCGTAGCCATTTCAAATGGCCAATGCTAAATTAACACGATATTTTTTTGCTATTTATTTGCTAATTATTTGCCAAAGAACTAATTTTTTTGCCCCAGTCGTTTTCGAAAAACTGTGGCTGCTCTAGCTTAATATTAAGCTAACGTAGCCACATGTTGTATCATAAGACATAACAAAGACATCAATGCCATCTTTGCGCCATATTTATTTGCTATTTATTTGCTCTTAATCCACCGAATATTAATTTTTGTGCTGCTGTCATTTCCTAGAAACGATGACCGCGCTAGGACTTCTGAAGCAATAGGTCCTATCTAGTCCCCCTCCAGCCCTCTCCGCCGACCTAACGATCGATGCTTTATTATTTTATGAAATAATCCAATAGGTGATCACTACTAAATCCGATTTTAAATAATTATTTTGTAAACAATTCGTTTGCTGGTGGTTACGTGGCCCAGCCACGCGTAATCATAGGCTGGTTGATTCGTTAGGCGATCGACCATCCAACATCCTCGAGTCTATCTCGGTCATGCAATGATGTTAGCGATATGGAGCAAAGGCGTTCCAGCATCACCATCAGAAATGGTTTCTGAAATGAATATGTAGCTAGGAAGTGGGGATACATGGATACAGCGTCGAGCTGAGCAAGACATTAAAGCTTTGCTGATGTGGAAGTTGAGTAAGCTAAACGGGAGCTTCTAAGATTTCGTTCGCAAAAATCACCGTTGTGATTTCTCAGCGCGCGGAACCAGAACAATTTTCTTTCATTGTTTCATCGATTTTTTTTTTACCTTTGTTCGTCCGGTGTTTACGTGAATTATGCAAATATTCATGCTTCTCCAAATTCTGATTGGTTTTTCCGTGTTGGCGACGGCGATCCCGAAGCCGGAAAACGAACACAAGTCGCGAGTCATCAATAAGGTTCGTCCTTAATTTTGAAATACACGAAACTTTTCGAAAGTCCATCCGCCGAGAACTCTTCATATTTGATCGTTAAACAGATAAAATTTCCCGCTTTAATAACAAAAATACGAATGTTTATGCATAACCTTACTTAATACGTTCAAAGAATTTTATATTGTATACTTTGTAGCATTTAAGTTTAGTTGTAAGAATAGACATTACTTCGAAGTGTTCTCTAATCATTTTTATATATATATCTCGACATGTCAAAATTTTCTCTTATTTCTAAATAAGGAACACTAACATAACAATTGTTACCAAATAGAAGTAAATAACTTTTACCTTAGGAGCCAAGTGAAGAGGAGCACTACATTAATTCTCAACATAATGCAGCCTATGATCATGAAGCGTTTCTTGGCGAAGAGGCAAAGACTTTTGATCAACTTACTCCTGAAGAAAGTACCCGAAGACTAGGAATAATAGTTGATAAAATAGACAAGGATAAGGATGGTTATGTCACTGGAGAAGAGCTTAAAGATTGGATACTGTACACACAACGTCGTTATATACGAGATAATGTTGAACGTCAATGGAAATCTCACAATCCAGAAGAAAAAGAAAAACTTCCATGGACGGAGTACATGGGAATGGTTTATGGAGACATGGATGAACACGAAGCAGAAAATCATGAAAAATCTAAAGACAGTTCCTTTTCGTATGTAGCTATGCTTAAAAAAGATCGTAGACGTTGGTCAGCTGCAGATTTAGATGGTGATGATGCTCTAACAAAGGAAGAGTTTGCTGCTTTTCTTCATGCAGAAGAAGCAGATCATATGAAAGATGTTGTAGTATTGGAAACCATGGAAGACATTGACAAAGATGGAGATAGCAAAATATCTCTCTCAGAGTATATTGGTATGTATCTAATACCATATAATATCTTGTATAAAATTATTAAAAACATTGTCCTTTTATTCTTTCTTTATAATATTTCTAATAAAAAAACAATACTATATATTTTATTACAGGTGATATGTACGAAGGTGTAGAAGGTGAAGAGGAACCAGAATGGGTGAAAAATGAGAAAGAACAATTTTCTATGTATCGAGACAAGGATGGTGATGGTTTCTTAGATTTTGACGAGGTAAGAAAGATATATTTAATTTTTTTAAATAGGAGCTAATATTCTGCCAAGAGAATATATCAAAAAGGTAAACTTAAATAAATTTCTTATTTTTTTATAGGTCAAAACTTGGATTATTCCAGCTGATTTTGATCATGCGGAAGCTGAATCTCGACACTTAATATTTGAAGCAGACACTGATGCAGACCAAAAACTTACAAAAGAAGAAATATTAGAAAAATATGATATCTTTGTTGGTTCTCAAGCCACAGATTTTGGAGAAGCATTAGCTAGGCATGATGAGTTTTAACCAAATTTCTTGCTTCATTTCCAAATAATACTTTTATAAATAAACAGAAAAACATCTTTGAGAGAACAAAAACAAAATGTATAAAGCATTTGCAAAGGATATTTATCTTTATCAGTAGGCTAAGAATCCTTTTTATAACGGCTGATTTTTACTTACCTCATGACATTGCCACTAAATAGCATTATATCTTATAAAAATGTAAATATGTGTTAGCTTTTTTAATAAATTGCAAATATTTTTAATATTATCCTTTTTAATTGAATAAAAAGTATTTTGATACCACGTGCGTATATTTGCTAGTAGCAGTAAGTGTTTCTGTACACTTTATACGTAGATGATTAAGGTTGCACTTTGTATATTACGATCTAGTGTGATATTATAGTATAAGTGCGCTATAAGATAAACGATATATCACTACAATGCAACGGCGATTATTCTTATCAGATAAATTTCATTTCTAAACTGAGCCGATCGGAATCAGGTATTGACTGTTTCAAAATGACGAAAATTATTTTAAGTTTATTTTTAATTATATGTGCTGTGTCTATAATATTCGGTAATTATACGTAAAACATTTAAACTTCTTAAAATCTAAACAAAAATTAATTGAAAATGTTTTAAACACCTAATTTATAACAGCTTTAGATGATAAATCATACTGTTTTTCGTTTACATGGCAAAATCAGGTTGCATTACCAAATAATAGTACATCTGATGATACAAAATGTAATCATACGATCTATAAAAATGTTCCCTGTATAGACCCTTTAATCATTTCAGGTATTTATCATAAAAATGAATGTTACATTTACAAAGAATTGATATACTTTTGTATTAAATTCTAATTAATAATTAGAGGAACAATAATGAAAATTACAAATTTTAGATGATGCACCAAATACAACTAAAATCTGGGAAGAACAAGACAAATCTATGCTTTGTGCTTCAGGGCCTGGAAATGTTTGTATAAAATATACTTATGTATATAATAATGCCAGTAAGTATATTACACTTAAATTACAAAACAAGAAATATGTTCTAAAGAGCTAAACTTAATTACAGTTAAAAATACATCCTTATTTTGTGGTAAAGTAGTAGAAGATCAAGTGACACCTCTTACATCAGGATGCTACGAACAAAAGGTACATCATTTTTTTAAGTAATATATAATAAAAATATACTAAACATGCTTCTATAGGTGGCTGGTTATACAATTGAGACTTGTGCCTGCAAACCAAAGAAAAATAGTGAGCCTTGTAATGGATCGATAAGAACAAATTACTCTATTATCATAACAATTATAAGCTTAGTATTTGTATTCATGAAATCAAGTTATTAACATGGTTAAAAATGATCTATATGTAATATACCATATGTACTCATACATTGTTTACTTTTAATTTCGTTTCATTAGACTGTTTAAGATAAAAAAAATAACAAATAAAGTATGTAACCTGCCAAATTAAACATTTTTTTTAACATGAAAAGATTTGAAAATTAAGGAAATAAATAAAATAAATATTAAAAATACATCGATCATTATGAAATAAGATTAAACTATTTTGATAAAAATTGTATAAAAGAAGATTACACAGAAATGTTTGTAAAATCAAAGTATTTTACTAAGAATTTATATTGTCATCAAACATCGATGTTTTATTCATTGATGAAACGAAGAATTGTATAAATGTTTTCAACGTCATTCGATTATTTTCAGATATATAAATGTTCATAATTTACAAAAGAGATATCAAATTATGTCTTTATTATTATTGTAAAATATGTAACAAAATATGCGAGCCTATTTTAAAAGACGAACGCGAGAAATGCATTGAACTAGTAATAATAAGTATGCATTTCTAGTAAAAAGTACGATGCTTTTATCAGTTTCCAAATAATTCAGGTATAACATTGTTTGATTGTTTCCAACAATATATTTGATGAAACTTTAATATACGAGAAATAAATATTCTTTAATGAGAATTATATTAAGATTCTATATATTGAAGCCATAACGGTTCCAGTAATTGGACATATCCGTTTATCTAGGAACTTTTCGCAACAGTATTATATATATATATATATATATATATATATGCATATGGATGTATGTATACAGAAAGAAAACTATTTATATGATCCGTTTATGAATCTGATGGTAGTGCGGACCACGGACAAATACTGTGACTGAATTTGTATTAACCGCATGGTATATAGTTTAAAATTGCACATATCACTTAAGTATGATGTTTTCTTTGCGATACGTTAAAAAACCGTTTGTTTTAAATACAATGTAAACGGATATTCAACGGTGATATACTTGCCGATGAATGTAAGTATTGCATCGTTACACCTGCTGTGTCGCAGAGAAACATTCGTTTTAGGTTATTAAACTGTGCAGAATCAATTTATATACCACCAACAATTCAAATCGAATTACTTTACACTAATGGTATTTCTTTATTGTTCGAATTTTGTTACGCTGCATTTGCATCTGATCCGTAAATAATTTCAAGTTACCTACGTTTAAAAAAAAAACCAATTGCAGTATAGTTTATTCACATTAGTATGAGAAATGCTTAGGTTTTGTAGAACACGTTCCACTGTAAAATGTTATCTTTTATATGTGAATAGTTGAACAATGTTTTGTCATATATTCATGGATATAGATCTTAAACATAAATCTTTTTTTTCTTATAGAAATCTACCACAATATGGCAGAACAACAACAGTCACCTTCAGGCTTTAAACGTATGTCTTTAGATAAAATTATTGAAGCTATGACTGCTGATTTAGAAAGTTCCAATGGTCATTATGTCCAATTTGGTGTAAATCAACAACAAGCTACGTCTCATAATTGGGGAGATTATTCTTCAAGTCAGACAAGACATTATATCACTAGTCAAACTCCGCAGTCTAATCCACCTACAATGCAATCAATGACTCCGATGAGTTCTCCTCTTTATATGCAAGATATGTCAAGTTATGATTCTGCAGCTGAATCAATTTATTTTCCATCGCAAACGGTTAATCATTTAGGTATAAATGAAAATAATGACTTGATTGGTACAATTGATGTCGGAGGAGGCAATTATATCAATGTAATTTATGGAAATGCTTCTCAATTCATGGCAGAACAATGTCAACTTTCAAATATAACATCATATAGAAATCAAAATATGATTGATCGAGAATATGGTTTATTTAATGATCGCCATATTACAGTACCATCTGATTTACCAACTCAAAATTTCAATGGAAAACAATTAATTGACAATTTAGTTGGTAATTGGGTACCAAATCAATCTGGAACCTATAGTCCCTTTGGTGGGTCTCCAAATGTAACACCAGTACCACAATTGAACATAGAAATAAGAGAACCTGATGAGCTACCTAGATGTTCCACAGACACACAACATAAAAAGCCTCGTGTAGTAGCAGAAGTGAAACCTATGCGACCTTCATATTCCGATGTACTGACAAAATCTGCTCCAACACCTCCATCTCCATTAACAGTTCAATCTACAAAACCGAAACCTGAATCTACAAGTAAGAAGATTTCCAATAAAAATTCGAAGAATAAATCCAAATCTGCAGTATTAAAGAGGCAATATTCATCTGGAAGTGATGATCACAATTCTCCAAAAATCCAAGTACCACGGAAAGTTTTAGAAAAGAATAATTCAAACCTTCCAAGACGTTGGGTGTCATTAGATAACCTTGGTTCGCAAACTGAATCTCATGAAATAAATACTTTTGATAGATCGAATCAATTTGAAAAGAAAAAAGTTTCTAAAACAGCTAAGAAGACAGAAAAAGGAGAAACACTTAATAATTCAAAAGTTCAAAATAGTAATTCAAAATCAATTGGAAATTTTCTTAAACGACCTATACAAATAAATAACAACTTGAACACAATGAATACTTCCAGTCAAACTGTTTCTCCTGAAAAAATGGAAAAGAACCAACAAGTTGTAAATAAAACAAATAAAGAAGAAAAGAAAGTTACTAAAGAAAAGAACTGTAAACGTTTTCAAGCTGAAAAAGCACAGCAGATTAAAAAAGCTCAACGAAATCGGAGAAGAGAGAATAGAGAATCCCCAGTGAAAGATTTGTGTAAAAATTTAAATAAATATGCCAGTCGTTGGTGTAAAATTGGATTAAAAATATTTCATTGGTTGTTACATTTAGTATCTGACGTAGTTAGTATGAGTGCTAATCTTATTATTCAACTGTAAGTAATATTTAATATACGCAATATAAGTTATTATAATTTATATTTCATAACACATAATAAGATTAAATGAATATATTTGAAATGCTTCATGGATATCAGAAATGTGTTCAAATATTTCTACATTTTTGTTTTAGTTTTAAATGTGGATGGTATCATACCATATTATATTTGAAATACTCATGGATTTACATAGCTGTAACATTTTCAAAAATTCGAATCTTAAATGCTGTTGGTAAACAATTAGATAATTGGTTTGGAAATAGTAAATTTGCATTTTGGCGTAAAATAAAAGCTAAAAGCGAAGAAAAAGAAGAAAATAGTAACTGGATACGTGGTGGTCTTGAAACTAATATTGCATTACCTAGTACTGGTGAAGAAGCTATGAAGAGATTATTAGCTTGTAAAGGAAAAGATCCTTACAGTATACTTGGTGTAACACCAACGTGTTCAGATGATGATATTAAAAAGTATTATAAGAGGCAAGCTTTTTTAGTTCATCCAGACAAAAATAATCAACCTGGTGCAGAGGAGGCATTCAAAATACTTGTACATGCCTTTGATATAATTGGTGAACCGGTACTATTTTTATATGTATAATAATAAAACTGTGATGAAAATTAATCATAAAATAAAAATTTTACTTTTAGACATGTACTTGCAATATAAATTAAATACATTTTTAATATTTTTTAGGAACGTAGACAAGCATTTGACCAAACAAGACAAGTAGAAGCAGCTTGGGGTGAACTGAGCGATTTACTCTCTCAGCTTCACAGAAAAATGGAACAAGCAGCAAATACAATAAGGTGTACAAATTGTGGCCTGAGGCACAAAAGAATTCCTACACAACGTCCTTGTTATGCAGCACGATTTTGTGCTCAATGTAAAATACGTCATAGTGCGAAAGAAGTAACTATTAAAGCAGATTTTAAATGAAAACTCACAAAAGCGTACTTTTAAAAAGATTATTAAAATTTTAAATAGGGAGACATCTGGGCAGAATCTCGTTTAATGGGTTTTCTTTGGCATTATTATGCATGCATGGAAGGAGCAGTATACGATGTCACTGATTGGGCAGCTTGTCAAGCTGGTAATTTAAAACATCTGAGAGCAAATACTCATAGCGTACAGTACAGAATCGTCTTAGGCCAACGACCACCATCGCAAACAGCCACTAGTGGTAAAAAACGGCAACAAATAGACCCAAATACGAGGTATCACTATTTTACAATTTTAATGAAAAACGTTCTATTTTTGTTTACATTTGTTGAACAAGTTATTTTTCGTTTTTGAACAGCGAAGCAGACTTTGAAGACTTTTTAAATAATCTGTACAATCACAGCAAAACCGGAACTTCAAGCGCACCAGGAGATCAAAACTCCTTTAGAGATTGTAAGCGACGTAAAGCTAAACGTAAGAAGTAAAAAATAATGGCAAGTTACTTCCTAATCTTTTAGTATCCTTCATGTATGATTATACAGTAATATCCATACATACTTCTCCGATGAATTTTCATATTCTTTCCTTGAATCAAATTTCAATAATAACCAAATAAATTAGATCAATCTGAATATTAGTAATATTCAGTGACTTCAGCACAATATTCAAATTATATAAGACAAATTTTAAAAAGTATACATATAGGTATGTCTCGGTAACATATTTGTTGTCATTAAAAATAACTTGATTTTTATTTTGATTGTAATGATAAAAGTTTAGTATAGCAAAAATGACGCAAGGTAAAGCTTATTTAAGAAGTGTGTTAATGTTAGAAAAATGATTTAAAAAGTATTTTAATCATTGACTTCTACGTGAAAATTGCTTGTACTTTCCTAGAATAACAAAATATACATTTTAAATTTATTTAAAATATAAAGTTCCGTAATAGTACAGTGTATTAAATGTAGTAAAAACGTATTGTGAATTAAATTTTAGAGGAGAAAGAAATTAATTCTAAATTAAAACATGATGAAAACTATGTAGATTACGAGACATTTTCATATTACACTCATAATATAAATCTTAATAATACAGATTGCGAATTGGATTAATAAAAGGAGAAGAAAGTAGGACAAGTAGTAGTACTTTGAGGAAGACAGTGCACTTTTAGCATTATAATCAACTTCTTTAATACTATTATTAAATTGTTTATTTGGTTCTGTAATATTATTATTAAGTGATTCATCATTCTTCTCTTTTTTTTCTCATTACTATCTTTATCAGATATGATAGCGTCATTCGAGCTCTTTTCTGAGGAATTGTTATCATCTTTCTTATTAATTGTTGCTAATGCAATTTCTTCCTTTGTAAATTTTGTAGTGCTGCTATTTGTACTTGCTCTTGTCAATCTCGAAGACGGGAGCACAAATTTACTTACTACACTGGATGTCATACTATGTGGGTCAACTCGTTCAAATAAAAACTCTTGCTCCTCTTTCTTTTTACTGTCTTGTCGAGATACTTGTTTTGTTTGTTGAGTTTTCAACATCAATCTTTTGAGGGTGACTCTCGTAACTCTTTTCGGAGTTGTAGGTGGTTTTTTAACTTTCGGAATATCTTTGGTCCCTGGCGAGTATAATTTATGGTGTACTACACCAACAACAAACGGAGCCCTTTTCTTCATTTTGTTCATTTGTCCATTGTAAGAGCCTTTCTGCACGTGTTTCTACCAGACCGGGTGTCTATTTCTGTAAACATAATCAAATAATAAATATTAAAATAAAAATAAATAATAAAAAATTGTATTACATATTATATAAATTTGATAATCTTTTAAGTTTGTTCAATTTTTGATTGAAGTTATAATAGTAACCTCCGCATGTAATTGATGTATATATTATACAAGTAGTAATCTGTATCTTTTGACATATGTTTCTATATCACTATTATTTAGTATGAGTTATGATCTCTGAACATTTGTAATTGGTAGCATATAAAAACTAAACATGATTGGCATACATGAAGTAAGACTGATTTTTTTCTATTATCCATAAGTTACGTAGCAGATAGAAATGTTTAAAATACTCAATTTCATGTGAATATTCTTTGACATTTTCAATCAAGATTTAAAAAAATGTATTAATCTGTACGTTATTAAAAAGTTTTATTTATACATTTTATTTGTATTATAATAAAATTGTGCAATTCTTTGTATATGCAAATGAAATCATATGAATGTCTATTCAATGAATTTTACAATAAAAACATACACATTAGACATACAGTCTATAAATATTAGTATAAATATAATTAAATATTTTCAACCAATACCGTTGTCTCTGTTTCATAAAGAAATTAAAAACTATGTCTTTGTCTTTCAAAATTCATAATAAAACGCCTTTATGTAATTTTTATGAACTTTTTGTATCTTTTATCCAAAAACTTTATTTATTGTAATTAAATTAACACAGCATAATTCAATGAAGTTTGAATATCATTTTCATTTACGAATTGTACTCAACAATATCTCCTACTGGTTCAACTCTTGTACATTTGTTATATATATATATATATATATATCACAAAAATTGAAATAACATTTAAATATTTTACAATATTTATTAATTGTCTTTTTTAACATAAAAATACAACTTCTTTTACAGAGATACAAAAATAATATTATTATTATGTTATATTAGACATAAAATTTCTGTCAACAAGTGTCATTTGAGAGTGCCTTCTAAAAATACAAGTGCATCAACATTATTAATTGCACTTTCTACATCTCGTTTTTGTATAGTTTTTTTTTTCATTCGTGCAGTATGTTTATAAGATTCTTTAGCAAGTGAATCAATAAACAATTCCTGTAATTAAAAGTAACGTTAATAAATTAACACGAAATATTTATATTTACTCGTATTAGTTGTCCTGACATCCCATTCACTGAATTATTTTATCATTGTTGTACATGTTTGGTTCATACACATGAAATGTAATTTAATAATCGAATATCAAAGATGTGAATTAATTGAATAAATATCAATATATAATAGTTAGTTTATAATTACCGTTGATTTCGCAATTAGAAAAACGGCTTCTTGGTTAACCATGTTCACTTCAGGATCCATTTTTATAATTGTTTTAATTCGACCTAATGGTAATTTTGATAGTTTTTCTTTGTGTTCTTCATCGGTACGGGTATTATTTTCGATTTCTTCTTGAGAATCCTGAGAATTTTCTCCTCCAGTACTAACATTATTATTGTTTAATTCTTCTATGTATGAACTCCCTTCGTTTTCAAAATTTGCCATGTTTACATTCATTTACATTGATCCTATGACTACACGTATAACCATGAGCGGCTAGCCTAGAGCCTTCCTATTATTTCTATGGGTGTTCCAAAAAGAATTCAACCAGCCATAAATAATGGATGGGATGCATAATTGTTCCAGAAGAATGAGCAGTACCATAGTTGTTAAAAATTATACTTTATTATTTATAACATTCATTGCATTTATATTTCACTATACACAAAAGCACAAACGCCACTTAATGGATACGCAATGGTATCGCCATCTAGCGGCAGCAACCGAACTAATTTTTCACATATATTCACAGTTTTTACTTTTCTCTCATAATTTTACATCGCAATCACCATAATTCCACTTCTAATTGTTGTTTTGTACAGTAATAATTGACTGATATTAAATTTTTTAAGTAAATAAAAATACACGAAAATGTGGCGCCATCTCTCAGCGAACCGCCCAAGTTTTTCGTGAAATAGTTTCCACCTTGCACAGGTAGATGTCGCCACCGACATGAATGAATTCAAACCATAAATTCTCTACTTTTCTCTGAATATAAATGTAATTTTAGATCATAGTTATCAATAAGTCAATAAAAGAAAATATATAAAGATATCAAATCCAATAATACGAATAAAAGTATATTTCAAAATATACTAAATAACAACGATCTATATAGTATACACTTGGACAAAGGACAATAGACCAATGAGATTTTGTCGTAATCACGTGATTTTAGTTTACTCATGTTTTCTTCTTTACTAGATGAACATACACCATTTCAAGAAACACGGTTGCCAATCTAAAGCATTTTAATACGATGGTAATGTCGTTTCAATTTCCACATGGACATCGGACTTTTATTTATGACTGGTAATTTGACAGTCATTTCAAAATTTATGAAAATCTCTTGAAATATGGAAGAAAAATCTTTGAAAGGGCAGTTAACGGAAAATACAGGTTTTTAAACATAAACTACAATTTCAAAACATGTACATATAATTTATTATATTCGTTTTATTGCAGACGTCAATCGAGATGAGTTGATTCTTCAACAACAAAGGCGAATCGAAAAGGAGGTTAATATTCATTCTCTGTCATTTTTGAAATTGATGTATTGAAAACTATCTTGTTCTTTAAAAATCATTTTTTCAGTAAATTACAGATTATGATTTTTAATTTTAAATAAATGTCATTAATGTTAATTTTTACTCTCTTGTGTACTATTTTTTGATACACTTATATTCACTAAATTATTTGGAGTTAATTACATTATTATAATCTCTAAATTAAATATTGTTATAGTATCTTCTGAAAAGAAAACAATTCCAAAAAATTGTTCTGAAATGATGCTTATTACATTCGTTACTATATTTAAATATTAAAATTTTATTTGTAGTTATAGAACCTATAGAAAGCATTTTTTTCAGATTTCTGAATCTATTGCTCTAGTCGGAGAAAAAGAATCAATAAAAAGCTTAGAGCGTGAGTACACAGAGGATGATGTGTATCTTTCAAAAGCTAAAGCACTTGGTCAAAAATATTCATACATTAGAAGAACTAGACCAGATGGAAATTGTTTTTTTAGAGCCTTTAGTTATGCATATCTTGAGAAACTAATTGGAAATAAAGATGAATATGAGAAATTTCGTGAACTTGCATTAAAAAGTAAAGACAATTTGGTAGCATTAGGTTTTCCCCAATTTACAGTCGAAGACTTTCATGATACGGTAAATATAGAATATTATAAATAGATTAATACCAAATTTATTACTTGATCTTGTAAAAATGATTAATCAGTTAGATTTTGAAGAATATATATACTCTTAGAATGTTAAAAAACATATTTTCTTTTTTTTTTGTATTATAGTTCATGGAGGTAATCGATAAAGTAGGAGGAGATGCAGAATCAAGTTATATTGAATTACACAAACTTTTCAATGAACAAGGTTATTCCGACTATGTTGTTGTATATCTTAGATTAATTACATCTGGTCAATTACAACGTGAGGCTGATTTTTATCAACATTTTATCGAAGGAGAACGTACTATTTCAGAATTTTGCCATCAAGTAAGCATTATAAGCATTTTTTGTTACATAATAAATTATTATTACTATTGTTCTATAATAAATGAAAACTATTTACCTAATTACATTTTAATACGAAAGTACTAAACTCATATTATTTTATATTGTCTCTAAGACTTGATAAAAATAAATATTAACTAATATATGTGATATTTTAATCAACTTTATTTGAACTATTAAAAAATGTTAATTATATATTTTTGTAGGAAGTGGAACCAATGTACAAAGAATCTGATCACATTCACATTATAGCAATGAGTACTGCTTTAGGAACTGGAGTACGAGTTCGTTACATGGATCGAGGTGCAGGAACTGAAGTAACTGCACATGATTTTCCTGATGGTGCCACTCCAGCAGTACATTTATTATATCGTCCTGGCCATTACGACATTCTCTATCCTTGATAAATTTTGCATAACAACTCTTTGGAAAGTCTCTTTCATGACAAAGATTAATTATTTAGCAAATTATAACTTGTGTATGTATTAAAATTTTATAGAATTATTATTTGATCTAATATTTCATAATATTATAGTTATAAGCAATTAATTTAAATTTTGTAATGTACACTACGAAATTTTATGTAAAAGAGCAAAGGTATTTACATACGCATTATATCTTCTCAAAGAGGTATGAATTTAAACAAATTTCTGTCAATTGTATTAAATTGTTTTGCAATTCAAATTATAAATTAAGTACATAAAATAAATAACAAATAATTTAACAATATATATCAAGTATTATTCTTCACATTTCACTTATAAACATACAAGATATGCAATAAACTATGCATTATAAGTTTTATAATATAATTTATTACTCATAATTTATCTTTGCATAGCACGTACTTGCTCAGTAACTTCTTCTAAGATTAAAGAACTCCCACTCATGGATTCCATTTGATAGTCTAAATGTGTAGCTATAAGATCAACTAACTTCAAATTCGTTCCTGCATTTTCTAACTTATGCTCTTGCTGTGCAAAATTTTTTGCACTGTGCATTAATACCTGTAAGCGTATCATAATTAGAACAAGAATCAATCATTTTTATAAACGCAATGTAAAATTTTTGCAAGATATTACTTCACTGCTTTTTGAGCCTCTTTGTATTTGCCTGGCAAGGGAAGCAATATTATTCACATTAACTTGCACTCTATCGGCCAATCTCATTTTTGACTCGACAAATAAACTACGAGCGCTTGTACTTGAAGCTGAGGCCATACTGTATAAAAATCAACCATGCAAGAAGAAGAATCAGTAAAACATTCTAAATTTTCTAAAAATATTATAATATTATTGTATTATAGTTCCTAATATGATATTATAGTTCCTATAAACTAGTATATTTCTATGTTTTAATTAAGTCTATTAAAACGATCTATTCAAAATTCCTTATAAATTTTGAATAAAAAAGGTTTTCGTTTTATCTAAATGTTTGTATAACTTTATTTTATTTTATTTGATAAAATTATATTATATTTCATGATAACTGTAATCTCAACAAAATGATCTACAAAAAATTCTTAATACCATCATTTTACAAACACCCTTAAGATACATCATAAATTGCTGTTTATGTTTATTATAGATTATGAGTAAGGTATATGTATTATGTGTCCTTGTGATTAAGTTTTTAGGTTATTCTAAGGATGTCAAACTCCAAATACGTACGTGTTTGTTTAAAGTGGAATAATCGAAACTAAAATCAGCTGGTGGTTAAATGCCAGTTGATGTCAGTTTGCCAGTACAGAATTTGGATCTATAGACACTTCTATATGTATTTCAATAGGTATACATATATAAATATTATATACTTATGTGCATCAAACCCTTTTTAGGAACTAACCTTAAATATTATAAACGAATAACATATGGAGTTGTATTTGTATATTCGATTTGAAATACATATTGTCCAATAGTATCATTTAAAGAACAAGGAAAAGAATCTGCCCTTAATCAGGTTAAATATAACGTATATTAAATCTATTTTGTCTGAAAGATGGCATTTGATGATGTTAGTTTGATCGCACAACAAATTAATTATCAAAATAAACTCTCTGAAGCAGATGCACAGGTATTATTTTCAATAATAATTTTTTAGTATATACTATGCATGTCATCTTGGATAAAGATACTTAACAAATTTTTATGTTATAGCATCTACGAAATTTAACGATACAACTAAAAAATCCTGTATTACCACAGCATGAAATTGAATCACGTGCTGGATCTCGTCCTCCAACACATGAAGAAATAGAAAAATTTGAAAAAATTGCATCACTTAAAAAGGGATGTTACTCCCCATTAGAAGATAAGATAATCAGTGATAACTGGAAATCATTCTGTAAGGTTTGTAACAATGAAACTGTTTTCATATATTTCTGATATAATATAATATTATTTGTAATTAATTTAAAAATGTTTTTATTTTTCTATATAGTTGCATAATTGGGAGTTTGCAAACGTTCATCCATTTTTACTTCTACGAGATAATAATAGATCATATATTCGTAGTAAAAGGGAAAGACGAAAATTTGTACAATTTTTAGCAGATGGCTTACCACATAGAACCTTGTATAGCATATATCACAGATTTAGAAATTTATATGCAGATCGTTGTCAAAGAAGGTAAGATATTGAATTCTTAAAAATAAAGAAACATTATATTATTTAGGAAATACAAGGAATTATATATAAAACGGAGTTCAGGCACAAATGTATATTTTGTTGTAAGCAGATTATAATATTTACACATTTTTAATATCAATAGTATTGAACTTTTGTATTTTAAGTATCTTCATATCAACTTTTTAAAAAACAAATACAGGGAATATAAAATGTTCAATTTATTTCATAATGAAATTTATTTATTTATTTGTATACTTAATTTTACTTAAATTATTAAGGTTCCTTCCAGAGGAAGATAAAATGATTATAGATCATCTAGAATGCAATGAAAACCTTGATGAAAAACGGAAGTATTCAGATTTGGCAAAAGTTTTAAAACGAACACGAGCATCCATTTGGCGTCGTTATACATTACTTAAGAAGAAACGTCAACATAAGAAATAAAAAATAACCAATAAAAGTTATTCATAAAATAGTATTAATTTTCCTCTTATTTTTTTGAATTTGTGTCTTGTAATCCTTGAAATCTTTGTCTACTCGTATATTAATTCACATTAAATTTTTACCTTACCCTTGACCATCTTTATATATAGTTAAGTATTATGTTTTATATTATTTGCTATTATATGACAAGTTCATAAATAATCGTTATCTACTACTTTTATGATATTATGATAAAAAGGTGATAATACATGAAAATAGTAATATTTTAGTTATATACATCTAAGAAATGCACACATAAGAATTTGTTACACTTTTCTCATCTACAATAATAATATTTCATATGCATCCTAATATTAAATTATTCTCATACTGATAAATTGTATCTATAAATGAATATGTCATAATTATTATAAATTATTTTAATATTAAGTAAGTTTTGATTACGCATTGCCCAGTAGAGAATGTTTTGAATCATGCATATATTTATTTCCCTATCCAAATGTTTTCATTGATTTGCTAAATTTGTTTAAATTCACTAATAATAATAATAATAATAATAATAATAATAATAATAATAATAATAATAATAATAA